GTGTGAAGAATCTCATCCTAGGATTTTCACGACATTGTTCCCTCTCCTCCTAATCAACCGAAACACTCCCAATTACAGATCCATCGCGTTAAAAACCTCCTTTAATCCATCAACCACGATTGGGTCTTTAATGCAAGTCTCTCTTCTCCAGGGTGGTTTATCTGTTAGTATAATTAGGTATGCCTTCCTTCTTCAAAATCCCTTAATTTCCTTTTCCCTTTTTGCTTTCCCATGATTTCATTAACTTATATTCAATTTTTGTTTTTCTATATAATTGTATGTGTAAAATATTCTCATTTGTAAAGAGAATCCCCAATTTGAAAAAGGTTTTCCGGCGATGGGTGCCCTCTAGCCATAACAAGGGTTTGTAAGTTTTCATGTGTTTCTGAAGAATACTATTTTATTTGACATGTGTGGTCGATTTTTGTTACAATGTGTTTGTTTCTGGAAACCTTTAGATCGAATAAAGTTTGTATTTACGGATGTTTTCCACTAACTAAAGTCATTTTTCTTCTTCTTTTGGAATTAGATTTGCAGGTCATCCGTAAAGGTTGCCTTTTTCATCTGCTCTCTACACAGTGTTGTCGAATCTATTTGGTTAGTTGAGATACATGAGCTTGTGATTTGATTTATTTGTTGATGCGTTGAATGGCTTATTGAGAGAAAAAAACATAGTCTTTGCTTTTGCGTTTGCTATTAAATTTTGACTTTGTGTGTAGAGATGCCATTGATCTTGGTTTTGGCATTATGTGTCTTGTGTTGAAGAGGACTGACACTCTGGTTGAAGGAGAGTAATTGTGAAACACAAATCTAAGTCAATGAATCTAGGCTTCGATGATCAATGAAGACATGGAATTTCACATGTCTATTTTCTTTAAAGAATGTACAAATCTCGGATATGTCTGACTCTGTTGTGTTGGAGATATTATCATCAGTCTTCTTCCCCAAGAATGTCTATTATTCAAGAATGTCCTTAGTAATCTTTGTTTCTGTTTTGTCTCTCAAGATTACTTTGTTTTATGAATGATTTTTCATTTTTAGAGTGAAAGCTATAAGCAAGTTAAGAAATGTTTGGTAGATGACATATATTTAGATGAATATTAAACTCTATTATAATTTATTTTACAATGTAATGAAACAAATTTAGTGTCACTTTTTAGTATTATAGCAAATGTTACTTGAAAACACAGGTGATGAATATTATAGAACTTTATCACATTATCACAATTTGAAATTTTGATTTCACCAATTTTTCTTTCACAGTATCATTAAAATTGTATGTCTTCACGGTGTTTAGAGGTGATTGCACTATATATGTATTGACATATAAAAGTGATTTAATATATCAGAAACTATAAATAACTTGAAATTTTTAGTGGCCATTTTTACTTTTTTAAAATAAAACTTAATTTATTTTAGTTTTTTCAAAAAAAATATTCAGAAAATTTTTATTCACTAACATACCAAACACGCCATAAGAACTTTTGACGCAATGACTCTAAGCTACATTTTTTTAAACAACAACTCTTGGCTACATTGGTTAATAACTATGTACTTAGGTAAATTTGTCCGATTCAAAAATTAAACACTATATTTATCAGAATCAGGAAACAAAATTTACATTAGATAGAATAATATATATATACATATATATGTATGTAGTTGTTAGATTGTAGAGTCTTTATAAAAGTTAATAATAAAGATAAATTAATTTTTCATATATTAATTGTGCATAAAAATAAAAACTATATTTTGTGTTAAAAATAATAATAAAAAACTATATTTTACAAATAATATAGTAAATATTATTTTTTATGAAATATTTTTTTTGAATAAGAGATATAATATATTTTTACTTAAAAGAATGAGTATTTATATTAGAAGATCCCTTATATTAGATTCACATACTATAACTGTAATAAATACTAGATTTTGATTGTACATTCGTAAAGATAACCTTTCATTTTATAAATCTAAAATTTTGTATACTATATTTAATATATAATTAGTTTTATATAATATAATGCTGTCATTTTAAAAATAAATAAATAGATAATATATATTTCTAAATATAAAAATTAATATATTTTAACAATTTTTTTTTGTAAAATTTATTACATAATTTACGAATGTTTAATCTTTTTAAAAGGTAAATAATGTTTTAGTCATATTTTATTTATTTATTTAAATTATTTTTTTCCAAATATATATTAGTTAACCAATTTTATATAATTCATTTATTACTTTTATTTTAATATAATTTATAATATATTTATAAAATTTATAACATCAGCATATAATTTATTATATTTTTTATAGTAAAATTTTGATTAAGATTAATTTATAATAATATGATACTACTAATACTAAATTAATCAGTGCATTAACTAAAAAATATTTAAATGTTTAAAAAAGATTTTGTTAGATTTTTCCTCAAAAGATTTGTGATTATTAAAACTAAAATTTAAATTACAGTTAAAAATAGATTTGTTATTAATATTTTATAATTATTTAGAAATGTTATACATTAAATAAACCAATGTAAATAAAAAAAATGTAACTGAGTATATGGACCTAGTATAACTATTCTATAGTGGATAAAAATGGTACTTCTCTTTTAATAGAGAATACATTAGAGTCGTAAGAAAATATGTTATAAACTTTAAATGACATATAAGCAAAGTAATAAAAGAATATATGATCTATATATATATATATATATATATATATATATATATATATATATGTATGTATGTATATGTAGCAAATTCAATTATAAACAAAAACAAATATTATAAATAAAAGAAATATAAAATATAAAATGATAATATAGTGTATTAGAAATATAACTAAAAATATATCAACAAAATACTTAATTTCAAAAAAAATATTTTTATACAAAACACAAATGAGGAGAATCTATTCATTAAATCAAAGTTAAAAACTTAAAAAAGAATGAATCTAACCGTTGTTCTCATGTTTCGATCAATAAGTTCAAATTACTAGAAACTAAAAATATCAAAAAAATACATAACTAAAACATCAAAGTAATTTGGAAACAGAATATCACAAAATATAACTAATAAAAATTAAACATAAGACATAGATGAAATTTGTTTTCATAATATAATAAGATATTAAAGATACTGTATGCACATATATGTAATTATGTCATGACTTCCACAAAAAAGGTATAATTAGATAATGCTATGGAAATAGAACGTGTATTGTTGCAAAATTTAATGAAAAACGATAAAATAAGAATACTAATGAGGTAAATGATACAAAAAAAAAAATTAAATAAACTAAAATATCTATACTGCCAAAATAAAATAGAACACAAATAAAATAGTTATTTTGAATATTCTAACATCAAATAGTTTTAGAAAAATATAAATACTTATTAAATAAAAGAATTCAAGAAAATAATAATTCACACCACATATATAACTGAACTTTTCTTAATAAAATTATTGTTAAAGCAAATACATACACTTCTTGCGAAGCAATGGCTAGTCAAGTCCAAGAAATAAAAGTTGGTTAAGGAGGAGTTTTGGGAAGCGATTGCTGAACCGACCAGAAGTGTGCATATGGAAAGATCAAATCTGTAAGTAAAACTTTTCATCAACTTTTCAAAAATATTATTTTTATACAAAACAGAAATTAGGAAACATAAAACTTTTCATCAACTTTCTTATCGTAGGGGTGAACCGTTCATTTGTTAATTATTTGTCTTCTTGAGCCTGTTTGATGCAGTATAAAACTATGTGACATGTCAGGAAGAAGTAGAAATGGTCTAGAGACATAACTTACGTCTGTGATGTCACCAAAGTTGTTGGTGTCCTTACAGCTTTCCATTATATTCATAATGTATATTGCTGTTTTGCAGCCAAAGTAACATTTACATAGCAGAGAGTATACATGTATGTAACACATTTTTAACGAACATCTTTAAAAATTAAAAGTATCAGTGCATATCTATGCTCTTACATATCTACATTAAAATTTTAAAAATATACTAAAAATCTTTAATAACATGATAAATATATGATATCTAATGGACATAACTCATCGATTGTATCACATTGGCTCGACCTTAAAATGCAACAACAACACACATCAAAGTTTTTTCTTTGCATTATGCATGCTGTATGAACATATTTGCCAGAAGTATTAACAAAAAATAATATATGGGTTAATTGCTATACGCTATACTTGATGTTTCAAAACCAAATTAGTCGTCCAAATCAATATTCTATAAAGTATTAAAGTATAAATGTACGAATAACATAATACACTGGTGTAGATAAGACTCATCCACTGAATCAACTGCCAACCAAATGAACATACAAAAATTGTTACAAATTTTATTTTATTTTCACAAAATAAATACACTATATTCTGTAACGCGGATTGGCCCTAGTATATAATATGTTAGTCTTTTAATAACTTTGTGTGCACGTTAAATTTAAACTCGACTTATTTGATTACCCAAAATTTACTAAGATCTCCTTTGTGCATCAAATAATAATAATTTCTCTTGATATCTTTCATTTACTATTTGTATCTTTTTTCTGAGCCTGAATATTCCAATTGTATACACAAAATCATCATTTTTATCCTAGGTGAAGCTTAGAAATATGTCGGGTATAACTAATTTACAACTCAAATAATACAAACGTATTCTAAAACGTAACAAACATGTAAACTGAAATATGAAATAAAATGTAAATGAAATTTTTGGTGTACTCTCTACTTGCGCAAAGCATAGGTCTCTATCTAATCAGTATTAAACCGGTGGGTTTTGTCTTAGTACAGACGTAATCTATGCCTGCCTTTTTCCTTATATTATAACAATAATTCAACCAATTACTTATTCATTAAGCTGAAAACATAAAAAGATTTATTCCAGAAATATAGTCGGTTCAATTAAAAAACCCTACGACTGATACAACAAAAGGGGTTTTAAATTCACCGTTCACCAAGTCCAAAAGTCCAGATCACTCATCACCACCGGAGTGGTTTCCACCATCACTGAGGGTAGTACTTGTTGTGACTGCAGTTGTGCTCTTCTTACAAACAAAGGGTCTGCAGTACAATGGGCGCCCATCGACAGAAAAACAAACCTTTTCACAGTTTCTCATCACCAAGGCCGGTATGACAGTATTCTTGAACACCACCCTCCCATGCAAGGAAGGGCCCCTTCCTCCTCTAGGCCTCGGCACAATCACTCGCTCTACAATCCCGGGTGCGTAAGACCTGACCATTAATATCATGATCATATATATACATGCACAATAAACAGCCCATATTGGTTTCAAAGAATGTAATACTTAGCACTAAACCTTATAATGAATCACCAAATGTGACAAGCAAGACAGGTTCTATGCATGCATATCGACTTGTGAAACGCAATGTGATGTAACATGCAGGTATATGTCTATGAGAACTGAACCAAGATTATATCTAGGGGCGGACGTATGCCTACGGTAACGGGGTCACGTGCCCTGTTTTCTTTTTTTCCTTTAATTTTCTTTGTTATTAAAATGTATTTAGTTTAGTAATTAATCAGCAAAAGTCCCCCCCCCCCCAGTTCAATGTATTTCTGTTGTTTCTAGTATTGTGCCCCCAACTAAATATTTTTCTACGTGAGAATGAGTGTATATAATTTGGTTCATAGATTAGGACATTAATGTGCAGAAAGCCACCATTCTGTGTCACGATGTAACAGGAGTTCCAATTCAATGGGTATGGTCTGGTGACAACGCATTTGCACAAACAAAAACTAATTATACATATATAGAATAAGAGGATTAGGGCATTAGATTTAATTACTTACCGGTTAAAAAAATCAAAGATCTGCCTCTCCGTCAGGGGGAATCCGTTGGAAAAGGTGAGGAACAGTGAACGTTGGTCGCGGTATACCGGTTCAAACGGTTGCGCGTGCTCATTCAGCGTGGCATCTTTCACTCTTATACTCACTGGTGTAAACGGTGGTGCATTAGTATTCAACATGGCTTCTCTCCCTCTCTTTTTTTCTCTCCTTTTGAACGACAAGAGATGCACACTATTCTGTGTTACTGTTATGTATTTATTATGTCTATAGAACATGAGAGGGTATGTACGGTTGCAACGGTTGGGTTTATGGAATTATATTTTAGTTTTTAATGCATAATATCAAAAACTTAATGACGTGTTTTAAAGACTAATTTTATTGATTTTATCTTGACTCTTGAGTGTAATAATTTTGAGTGTAAAACTTATTGACGTTTTAAAAAATTATAATTAACATAACTCTCTTTCTTTTTGCTAAAAGGTTTTTAAAATCATTTTGAGTAATTTGTGTTTTGCATCTGTAAGGTTTTGTTGGATATATGTATTCATCTTTTTCACGAATCAATGTTTTAGTATATATATACTAGGGTCCTGCCTACGAACGAGATATACTTTAATTATGATCTAATTTATTATTTTTGTATGATTTTGTGGTTTATGTTTTAGGCTTATATTTGCAAGAGATGTATATGATAATAATTTTTGTCTCTTAGAAAGTTTTAGATGACGAGAAGTTATATGTGGTAAGATACATTTTGCTTGTCCACAATAGTTATTTATATATTAAAGAGTTATAACATTGATATGTTGTAAAAGTTTGAAATAGTCTTCGTGTTGTTTCTATACTATCACCTATATATACTTTATAACATTTTTTCAAGTTAAACCAAAGTTTTTAAACCCGACTCGTACACTGAACCGGATGACTTAACGGGATACTAGGTCACTAGGTCGACCGCGGGTGAACCACGAATTAATAAATTAATTAATTTTATTATATAACAATATATTAGTTATGGAATAAAAAATAAATAAATAAAGTTTAATATTTTGTAATGTTTTTTAAAAATATAAAATAATTGTTTGGGTATGAATATATTTTATGTTTAAAAAACATTTAGAAAGTACTTAACTTTAGTCTTATATTTTTTTTCATTTAACATACAAAATATTAAAATTTAGACTATTTAAATTTTTCGTAACAAGTTAAGAGTTATGAAATGTAAAAAAAAAAAAACTCAATACATAAATTTCATAAATATTTAAATATCTAACCTGAATAATAAATTAAACTCCAAATTAAAAATAAACCAAAACAAAACATCATTACAATAAAATTTCAGTAACAAAAATAAAATAACACCAAATCACATCAACTAATTTTGATGTTCTCTACTATCATTTACTTCATTTTTTTCAGGTGTCATAGTGAAATTTTCATCAAAGTCTAAAAATCACAACTATAAAACTGAAAGTGAAAACCTAACTTCTTAATTATAAAATTAGAATATAAAAAAAATCTAAAATATAATTATAAACTAAAAAAAATAAAAGTTATTTATTGGTTCAACCAGATATCGGGTTTTGAGGTTTTAGTGGGTTTTCGCAGATTTTGCGGGTTTTTAAATTTTTTGTTTTTCACAAAACCCAAACCGGATTTTTACTGGGTCATCAGATTTACCGGTTCAACCGCGGGTCCGGGTCGGGATTCAAAACACGGGTTAAACCCAAAAAAGCCTTAGAATACTAAACATAATGTATAGCAATAAATTCTTCAGTTTGAATTCACTTTTCAAGAAATAGGCAAGTTTACATTTATTTACTACTAACATTGGAGTTGGTCCGCACTTTACAAGAGAAGTAAGTATATTTGGTTTAACAAATATTTCTATTGGGAAAGATTTGATTATATATGTAATTTGAATTATTATTTTCGTGATTACCTTTTTTATTTTATTAATTTTTGGCTAAAATTGTTTGATTTATAATGATGAAATTCAATCTCATTGTGATAAATTAAACTTCTTAATCTGATGGTTGAGATAATTAAAGGGGAATGTGGTCTTCTTATTTTTGATAGTATATACACTTTATTTTTAAATCAGTATTAAATTATACTTCTTTTTTTGGAATTCATGATCTAAATACATTTATTTTCATATGATACCTTTAGCCTCTTATTATATCATGGAAACACTATTTATTTATCTTGTTGTTTTAATTTTTTATTTGCTATATCTTGTTATATTATCTTTCTCAGTTACATTTTAAAATCTCTTTAAAGCACTAAGCGCATAATATACTCTATGTGTGAAGTTATATAATTGTATATTTCGTTTGTTGTGGCTTTTATGTAAGTTTTTTGGAAAAAAATATTAAAGTTTATGGTTTTAAATAATGTTAAGGTGTGTAATGATTATGTATGAGGTATAAGTGGTGTTTTGAATGTTTTTTATAATTAGTAATCCAGAGTTGTGGTTGGTTAATTGGGGTTGATATAAATTGGTTTGCTATAATTAATTCCAAAACATGAGTTTCAAAAAGTTCCTTAACCAATGTTAGTCCCAATATTATGAAGAACTCTCAATATGCTGATATTAAATGTTAAAAATTTCACAAAACATGGTGGGAAGAAGGTGAAAAGATGCTAAAATGTTATTCTAGAAGTTGTCGTTGTAGACAAATATGGCATCTTTAATAAGCTATATGAATTCTTATAACATTTTCAATTCCTTGCTATTTTTTTTATCATACCAATTAGAGGTCAAATGGTTTCAAACCATCTCTATTTTTTCTTCTATAAAAAAGTTTATCATTTTTTCCTCTATTACAGAGGAAAAAATACTTTTTATTTTTTATTACTATATTATTTAAATCTTAAGAATACATTAAAGCATGTCTCACATCTATTATAAAGTTTTTCAATCTTATAAATAGAAATAGTAAAATACTTTGGAGATGTCTTAGGTGATTTATAACATTAGACCGCTATCCTAAATGAATTACTCTAGTTTTCTTATGAATTTTTCCAATTTGGTATTTCATCAATTTCTCATGTTAATTTCTCTACTTGAGTTTCGTGATCTGATTCACCTTCTTTTTTTGCCTAAGTTTGATGAAACATGAAAAATAATATAGTAAATGAATTACGTTTTTTGTTGTTATGAGTTTTTGCTATTTCTTTTCAGATATATGTATCGTTTGATTATATTATGCATTTTTATAAATTACTATTATTGAATGATTTTTTAACCAAGCTCAAGTTATATTATGTATTTAATAATTTTTTATTGTTTTATTTGTTATATCCTTTTTTAATTTCTAAACAGTTTTTATATATGTTTTGGTTATGTATACTTTTTAGTTGCAGTTTCTATTTTCTTGTTATTTTCTTTAAATTTGACTTTGGTGATAAAATATCGAAAACATTTCTTCTAAATTCTCTATTTTTCTTTTTTTTTTGTACGTGAGTTTAATGAAACTTGAAAACAAAATTGTAAGTGAGATTTCCTCTGTTTTTGTAAATTTCTATCTTTAATTTTTTAAAATCATATAGTTTTGCTTAAATTATGTATTTTATTTTTACCATTTATTAAATATTGATTAATGTTTCACCAAGTTCAGTTTTTTTACTAATTTTAATCGTACAGATATATGCTCTATTTTACTATATTGGTGGTCTGATAAAAGGCCAGGCCACATCCATACTTATAAAATGAGTTCAAGATTGAGCAATCACCAACGATCACCACCTACGAAAGCTTGTAATAAAGACATAAATCTATAAATCTATGAAAGGTTTTCTCAGTAGCGTGGTTGGATGAGTTGAACAGATTAATAAAGCTGTGGTAGGGGGAAAATTCAGGTTCCATCCGCATTGTAAAGCTCTATCTCTCACTCAGCTTTGTTTTGCGGATGATTTGATGGTTTTTGTAGAGGGATCAAAGGAGTCTATAGAGGGGACTCTTTATGTTTTTGATGAATTTGCCATCTGGTCAAGTCTTAATATAAGTATTGAAAAATTCATAGTGTATATGGCTGGAGTCTCAGCTGTTGATAAGAGCATAGTCTTGACAAATTTCTCGTTTGCTGGTGGTGATCTTCCGGTTCGTTATTTGGGTCTCCCACTTATGACGAAAGGGATGAGAAGCAAGACTACCTGCCTCTAGTGGAAAAAAAAAATAAGAAATAGGATAAGCACTTGGACCTGCAGATTCCTTTCTTATGCTGGAAGAATCAGTTGATAAAAGCAGTTCTGATGAATATTGTTAATTTCTGGGCTCGGTTTTATAGACTTTCTAGTAAGTGTATGAAGGATATTGAACAACTTTTTTCATAGTTTATGTGGTATAGTCTTGAACTAAAAGCAACATGGGCAAAAGTAGATTAGAGAGATGTATGTAAGATGCAGAATGAATGTGGGTTGGGTATTCGACAGCTAAAGGAAGTCATATGATCTATGGTTTGAAATTCATATGGAGAATGTTATCAGGCTAGTCTTTGTGGGTAAAATGGATAAAGTTCAATTTTCTGAAGCAAAAACGGTTTTGGGAAGTGAGTGAAAAAACTCAACTTGGTTCTTGGATGTGGAAGAAGATGCTAAAATTAAGAGATGTTGCAAAATCTTTCTATAAACAAAATGGGTAATGGTCGTCATAATTCAAGAAAAATGTTTAGAGAAAACACACGGCATCTGTGGTTCCTCAGAATAGCCCACTACCCATGACTCGAAAAAGATAAGAGGACGCACTACCATAAACTCACAAAGAACTTACTTCATCCTTCCTTGCTCTCCATGGCCTCGGTTGCATCATTGTTCTTCTATTTACTAGATTCTAAGTTGTCTCAGTTACTAGATTCTCTATTATACATGATCCTTATTGCAGAAAATGTTTTTAAGAAGTCAATGGATTATTCTAATGTTTCTCAACTGAAGCTTGCTAAGCAGAATGGAGGATGAAAAGCTTGAGCGTTGTTGGATATTCAACTTATAATTTCCAGGTGCGTTAGGAAAGTAAGTTTACTTTTAACGTTATGTTTATCATATTTTCATTGCTTGATTACAGGTTTTTTGGATAATAAGACATTATACTCATGGATCTCAAACCAGGTTCATAACAACTACAATTCATTTTGAGTAGGGAAAATTTTATACGGCTTGATAATTC